GAAATAATTCAGCCTCCACCACATACCATGATACGAGAAACACGGGACAAAGCTACCACGCTATTCGATTACGTATCATCCTCGTGTCACTTACCGTTAACCGACTGACGCAATCTCGAGACACGGTGTGTACACAGACAGTGTCACGAGATCGAATAATTTATTAGTTGGACACCGGACGCGGCTCGATGTTTCGCGAATGCGAGAGAGGAAAGACGTCGTGGAATACGATACGCGCGATTTCGACTTTGATCGAGTGCGCCGCGGTAATTGCGCCGGAAGTGAATAAGTGAATGGGTAGTAGAAACGGTAGTAAGAAGTCGGCCGGTCGTAGGCCTCCCCGTTAAACATACATGCGATGGACTTAGAACGCGGTGGAAAATCCACCAACAGTTTGACGCGTGTACGTACACGCTATACGTATATCTCTCCTCCCCCTCGGAAAATTCTTTCAACTCGGCCGAGGAATTGTTGAACGAGGCGCGCAAGTGCGCGGTAGCCTCGATTGCTGATCAAACAAAGTGCTTCAAGTGCGCCGCCTGCTATTACCGCGCATCGCGGATGAACTTTCTCTACGTGCAGCCTCGCGAGAGATCTCATCCGGCATGAATGAAAAAAAACGATGAAACCTCGCTTCCTCGAAAAATAAAGAAAGAAGAAGAGGAAAAAGAAGAAGAAGAAAACGGAACGCGTTCGTTTCGACACGCTCGCGCTGGTGATTCTCGGTGAGCTTTAAAACATTCCGATCGATTCTCCCCCTTTATCCCCTCCAATAACGAAATTATTCGTCGATTGTTTTCTTTTCATCTCGGGGGAAAGCGGATTATCGATGCTCGACGGAGAGGTATGCGTTGTTGTCTCGGCCAAGCGTTTATTATTCCATCGACGCGACGCGAGGAAGAAGGTCCGTTTCGCGATCGGTATCTCTCTCCTCTCATAGACGCACGTACGGTGCTACCTGCCTCGTTTACCTCGTGCATACGCGCAAGAGGAAACACGGGTTAAGGGGCTGGGGATGGTGTAAGAGAGGGGTACCCGCGGGTTAAGCCACGGGTGTAAGCCCTTCCTAGCGATATCCTAGTTCGACGCGGAATCTCTCTTCGTTTGCATAGCAATGAGTTTATGCAGATTAATACACGCGAAACGCGTACAACGTCTCGTGGGATGTAAAGCAACCGGTACCTACACGGATCCGCGAGCGTGCATGCATATTTTATTGGCGGCGCCCGCCCTCAAGGATCCCCGCCGATCGCGCCACCAACCCCACGCGTCGCGATTCCACTCCTCTCCGCCGCTCTTCCATTAGTTATAATCCGCGGCTCCCAGACTTTATCAAACAATGGCCCGTGTCGCCTCCCCTCCCTTCCCTCGTTTGTCTCCAGGACACGACGTAAGCCAGCCAGGCCGAGCCTGTTTAGCGATACGTGGAAGGGGATATCGATTCGTTTCCAGTCATTCTCTCTTTTCTCTTTTCGTCGCGTGTCGATAGTTCTCGGGCTCGAGGATTTATCGTGAAAGATTTAACCGTCGCGTTTCGTTTCGAACGCGGTATGCGTTCTTCCTTGATTGATTGATTTCGTTCTACCGGGTACCGGTTTTTGAAACGGGGAGGGGGGGAAAAAGAAAATAATAGGAGAGGAAAAAGAGAAAGAGAGAGGGCTGGTTAAGGAATCTGTCTGTATTTGGTTCGATCCGCGTCCACTGATGGGGGAGGGGAGGGATTAACGCGATGTCGCTATTTTGCATACACGTTTTACCCGTTTCGAGTGTACGAGCGGATAGATGGATCGATAAGTTAAATCATTAGCTGTTTCATATACGCGTAAGAATCATTATCTCCGTTTAATCCGGTTAATTAATTATTTTCAACGGCGGAATACAAGAAATCATATAATTATATACAGGGGAGCAAGTTCGATTATCTTGATTACACGTTGTCAAAGATGTTGTCCCGACAAACTTTCTCTAATTCGATTCTCTTAAATTTTCAACGATACCGATTCTCAATAACGAGACGATCGAAATTTCTGTCTCTCGTAACGCGCAATTAACGAAAGACTACGTGACAAATTTGAAGAAACGCACGCGCCAATCCACCAACTGTGCGCGTATTGCAACCTCTTAGTCGATCTCTCCCGTTTCGAATCGTCCCTCGTCCCTCCGATTATAAAATCCATCCAGTTTTTCTTCTCTTTCAGTTGTGAGATACGCTCGCAGAAAGGAGAAAGAAGAGTAAATTGTACAATAGGCGAGGAAAACGGGTAAAATACGGGCCTGGTTACTTTATCCACCCCTTCCATTGTTCCCAATTAAACGTACAACCGCCCACGCGTATTCTATCGCACGGGGGGCGTTGAAACGTAATCGATGTCGCGATAACATCAGCGAGGCCGATCGATTCCAAATCGGCAAAAATCACCCGTATTCCCGGTGAAAAAGGAGGAGGCGTTTTACCACCTTGTTGACCTTAATTACGGATCGAGAAAAGCCTCGATACATCGCTTCAGCGTGAACGAGGTGAAAAGAAGGGAAAGAGAGAAAGAAAAAGAGAGAGAGAGAAATATACATATTTATATAAAAAGAAATATATATATACGAATAAATTCACAAATATCATCGATGGAGAACCCGAGATAAGAGAGAGAGAGAAGAGAGAGAGAGAGGAGAGAGGACAAAGAAGAGGAAAATAAAAAAAAAAAGAGAGACGAGCGGTGGTGGAAAAGCGATGCTTATCCGCCGTGGAAATATGCACGTGGTGCAAGGGATAGGGAGAAAATACGAGCGGCGTATCCTGTCCGGACGAAACGTTAATGTCAGTTAATTATCTGTAAAACGCCCGAGGCCGGGGAAGGGAGGGGGGGAGGCGGTTCGTTTTCGAAAGCTTGTAACGCGTGGGCGCGGCCCCCTCGTGTTTTTTGGAACGGAATTTCTCTCGTTGTCGATTCCAGACCTCGTGAAAAACCGTGGCCGCTCGTAGCTCACTCGGCTCGCTTCGATTCTTTCGCCCGATACACCGATCGACGACGATCGAGACACGAGATAGAGCGGCGGCGGCAGACTTTCCTTTTAAAAATTCGATCGGGTAATTAAAATAACTCCCTCGCGTGTTCACATTTTTCGATTCGATATTTTCCTCCCTTCTTTTCCTCTCGTTTCTTTTTTCTTTTCTTTCGTTCTTTTTTTTTCTTTTTCTTTTTCTTTTTCTTTTTTTTTTTTTACGGTTGGTTCCAGTTTTAACGAAAGGGCGAAGGGTGCGGCGATATTGGAATTGTTCACATAGCAATCGATAGCAATTTTTCACGTTTTTACCGATGGTATTTCATCGCTACGCCATGTCAGCCCTCTCCCCTCTCGACGAGGGAATTCTTTTTTTTTTTTTTTTTCTTACAACGAACAAAAGCGCGGACGACGGATCAGGGCAAGTTTGCGGTCCGATCCTTCGCGTGATCCCCGTGTCCTGTTCGACGGCACGCTTCGACGATTCCAATCCATTTCGAGGCGAAACTCGCGCGGCCAAAAAAAGAAACACGACCCTCCACCGATACACAACCGCCGACTGGTCCCCGACCGTGTGTATTTACACGCGCGCGCGCGCGTGTGCGTGGAGATCCTTTCCTTTCAAATATTTGCCCACCAAACACTCTTCTCCCCCCCTCTTTCGCGGAGACGAAAACTGCGAGCGAATCGCGGCCGATCGCGAAAGAGCGCGGAAAAGGGAGAATAGAAAGTTGGAAAGAAATTGTTTCCAACATTTTCCCGTGGTATTTCGAGAGATGGTATTTTCCTGCTAAGACGGCGCGAGGTGACGTTTACGGGACGCGGGGAAAGTATCGAAAGCCGGCGAATGTTTATCGTTTCGTATCGACAGACAACGGTGGATAAGATAGGTTGGAATTATGGAGGGCTTTATTCGAGAACCGTGTATCGCGACGGTGGAGATTTATGGCGCGGTATGTGCAGGCCCGGCCGACGTTCCATTTATCAGAACTCGGTACCTGTAGCATTTCGGCCCGAATGGCTCTGCGAAACATCCGCAAACTTCGATCCCCGATGCGAACAAATGGATGGAGTTTCGGAAAAGGAAAAACGCGGATGGAAAAATCACAATGGGGCAGATAGAGAGAGAGAGAGAGAGAGGAGACGCTCGGTCGCCTCCGTCCG